CCGCTGCGCCACCAAGGAGGGCCGGCTATTTCTTTTGTTCTCAAATTTTGCTGCATTTTGTTTATTGTAACAGATAAGACATTACATTGGTTAGTTACTGTTCAATAACAAGCCACCCCCACATGTAGTGGCTTAAAACACGAGCCAGCTATGTCATCTGTGATTCTGTCGTTTGGTCCTGTCATTGGCTTGGTGCCACGGTTCTCATCTCAGTTGATTTTGACTGGGGTTGCTCACACACTTGAGATTAGGGCAGGTTGATTAGGGAGCTCCAGGGCTGACTGTCATTTGGGCCACTCTGCAATCATCCTGTGGCCTCTCATTCTCAGGAAGGCCAGTCCGGGTTTGTTCACAGGACAGTTTTGAGAGAGCAGAAGTTGCAAGTTACAGTGTCAGCTCTGCCACATTCTTTTGGCCAAAGCCAAGTCACAGGTCAGACCAGATACAAAGGCTGAGAGGTAGACGTCCCCTCTGTTAGGAAGACCTGCACAATCATAGTGCAAAGGGTATGGTTCTAGAGAAGGGGTGAAGTGTGGAAATTTTGGTAGTTGATCTACCGTGGACCTCCGTAGCATTCAGGATTCATAGATTCAAAGCCTTTTCTAGGACTGTCAGGTATTACCTTCTTAGGGTTTGCCTGTCACCAGTGTCTGGAAAGAGTCAAACCCCTCACTACTTCTGACCTGTTGCTCAGAAGCAAGATTGGGCATAGTCCCTTGGGGAGATTGTGGCCTCTGGACAACCTACGAAGTCAGACTATGGTTCTGTTCTAAGAACCTCTAAACCACCTGAGTTTTCTCTTCTCCATTCCCACCCTCCCCCAGCATTTTAACCCCAGAGTGGGGGAATGCCAAGACTCTGGTCACTCAACTCCTGGCAATCTCTTCCCTTCCTCTTGAAATCTTTACTGAGCCATGAGGGGAGGGGTTCCTCTTTTTGCCTTCAGCCCTTTCTGGAACACAGATAGTGAATAGTAGTTATTTTCCATGGCTTCCCACCTTGCTCTAGGGCTGTATAAGGGCTCTGGCTCTGGGGGTTGCACCCTAAACCCTGTCCCCACACCCAGACACTTTGAGGTGTTGCAGCCTAACAAAATATCCTTTTCCACAGATCACTAGATTCATGCCCAATCTGTTGAAGACACCCTTGTTTGGGTCTCTCCACAGCCACACCCCCCTTCTTCCTTGCTAACAGACCTGCCCAATTCTGCCCAGCAGTGGATTTCAGGGGAACCTCAGCCCCAGGAGATGGATCTTCCCTGGGCCAGGGACATTCCCACCCCTGGCTGATGTTTGGTTGAACAACTGGTCGAAGCTGGGACATATGTTGAAATACTGACCAATCAGAAGTGAGGGGAAGTTGACCAGAGGCTTGGGGGGGGGGAAGTCCCCTTGTTCACTGCCTCAGTGTGTCGATGGTAGATGGGTGAGAAGTCTACTGGATGAGTCAAATAGCTACCTTTTTTTAAAAAAATACATGTGGTCTTTATTATTATTATTTTGAATAATATAATAATTTATTTTTACATTACTTTGTGCCTTTTTCCATCTCAGCTGTAATCCCTGTGGGCTTCCCATCACTAAATCACCCGTGTGCCATCACCATAGTCCAGTGCACTCCCCTCCTCCTGTTTTTGATCGCATTCCCCCTTCAACCCCTGTAAAATGTCTCTGGTATATAGTTGTTCATTATTATTATTATTATTTTCTCCCCTGGTGCTTTATACTCCTGCCATGAATGAAGCCATGCGGTATTTTTCCTTTTCCTTCTGGCTTCAAATAGCTACCACTTTAAAAAGCACCAGAGACACTATCTTAAGCAGGAGATTCAGAATTAAGTTCTGAGAAGTGATAAATTCCCTGGACTGACCTTAGCCCTGCACTTTTTCTTCCATCTTTGGTCCCTGAGATTTATTCCATTAGGAAATTTGGAGAAAAATGGGGACTCCAAATGGCTTTTATGCAACTCATTATTATCTCTATTTCTTGTTTCGGGACTGATGGAATGGTGGACATTTGCAGGAGTAAGGCATACAAGGATGTATGATTGTGTGGGGTGGATTTCTACTCCATAAATAAAATTGGCATTAATGAAAAAAAGAAAAAAGGAAACTATACATTAGCCTCACGCTGCTGTAACTTCATCACGTCTTCCACTTCACAACTTTATTGAGATAGAATCCGCCCGGCATGAAATCACGCTTACAAAATGTACGATTCCATGGTTTTTCTTGTAATCAGTTGGTGTGCGCTGTTTAAGCTTCTGACATGCAGTTATAAAACGTGCCTGTTGGTGTCACTGCAGAGCTCTGAAGATAGTTTTCACTGTCTCCCTCACTTGTGTGCTTCATTCAGGCTAACTGGACAGCAGGTAAATGCGACCGTCAGAGACTTTCACTGCAGAAACAGAGGCTAATGCGCCTTCTGTTTCAAAAGCTGAGATTCAGGTAAATGACACAAGCTTGGAAAAAGGCAGGTCCTCCTGTAGGATGGCTTTCTCCCCTCTCCACTCTAGTTATTTGCTGGGACTAGCAAACCTCACCTGGTTTATGGGAGAGATGAAGGCAGCTGGAGTGAACCAACCCCAGTGGGGCCCTGAGAAGGGTCCCACAACCCGCTCCCCACACCCAAGCTCAAATGAGTCGAGAATCAGCAGATTTGCACCTTCCTTCCTGGTGACAGGCTTGCTGAGTTCCTGCTCAGCATGACCTGGAAACTGTGCTGTGCATGGTGAGAGGACATGACTGGGCTTTGCAGAGTGACCTGGGGTCCACAGTAGCCAGTGTGTGCTTAGATGACTGTGGACAGAGCGGGAAGCAAGTGCACATAGGGAAGCTCTGAGGTCAAGAAGAAGTTAATGCTATGGGCACCTTTGTGACTCTTCTCGAGGGCAGCACTCTGCGACAGGCATTCAAACGTTGGTACATGCACCAGCATAACAAGGCCCATTACAAAGGCATTACACCATTGGGAGAAGGGATTTGCAGATTTTTTGTAGGCGTTCCTGAATCAGTGGATTAAATCCTTGGCACAGATTAAATCCATGCAAATCGTCCTTAAAATGGAAATTCTGTTAAATCATGGAAAATTTAAAAAGTTGCAATACTTTGGGGTATCTCTGGTGGCCTAGGTGTTAATCTCAGCACTATCACTGTGAGGACTCTCCCTCCACAAAGCAGCCTGAGTTTGATCTCTATCCAGGGAGATAATTCCACATGGTGCAGCAGACCTCTCCTGTCTCGCCAGCTGCTCCCTTCAGCAGTGTATTTCAGTAGATCCACCTGTTCTGCTCCCCACTCTGCCTGTGGTGAATCCTTTCACCCCTGTACCTCTGACCTACACTCCAGTTCTATGCAAAATAAGTAAAAACAAAAATCTCCCAATAAGGGAATAATTCTAAATTTTTTTTAAATGCAATACTTTGGACATCTGATTGGTGACTTGATAATTGCATTGTTTTATCTTGATTGTTCATACATTTCTCCAAGACACAACCTCCCCATCTGTAAGCTGAAGTTGGTGGAAAGGTAAACCAGGGGGCATCGAGAAGTTTCTCAGTTCAGGCTGATCACAATGCTAAAATCTCAGAGTCTCTTAATGACTTCACTTCCCATCATGAGGGTTTTTCTAATATATCGATCTCTAGTAAGAGTGCTGAAAATCTCCAGCACAGGGTGATAGGGGATCTAAGACATTCCCGACTGTTCAGAGCTCATATGAAAACATAAAAGAAAAATATATCTACAATAGGTTTTACAATCCTTGACAAATGAAAACATTTTGTTTTTCTGCTTTCCCTTTCCATCCACACTTACATAAGAACCCCTTTTGTACCAGAGCCTGGAGGCTGCATTGTATCCAAGGGCTTTTGGGAGGTAAGAAGGATGGAGCAGGAAAATCTGGCTATTTTAGTCCTGCTGATGGGCTGCCCTGGCAACGAGCTTTACAGACCAAACGACTCTAAAAATACCTTCCCCGTTCCGACCCCTCTTCTGAACTAGAGACTTATTGTCCATCTGCCTACTCAAAATCTACACTTGGATGATCAACATTATTACATTTAACATCTTCAAAACTGAACCCATAGTTCCTATCACTTTACCCGTCTCCCCCTCCTCATTCATTGTTCAGCCTAGCCACCACGCCATCCTCAGTTTCCCCTCTCTTCATTACCGCAAGTATTCAGTCCCCTAGGATGTCCCATCGTTTCTGTTTTAAATACTCCTCGCGTTAGTTAATCTTTATCTCTGCTTGTGCCCATAGCTCAAGCTACCCTCGTGGCTGGTTTGCGGCAATAATCTCATATCCGAACTGATAATTTCTTTCTTCTAATTTGTTTGTTTTCAGGATCATGGTGATCTCTCTCTCTTTTTAAAATTTATTTATTTATACATACAGAATGGGGCACAGGCCAGAGGAGCAGCGTGTGAGAGGATTCATCAGAGACAGAGTAGGGAGCAGGACAGGTGAAATGACTGCAATACACTGCTGAGGGGAGCAGCAGGTGATACAGGAGAGGTCTGCTGTGCCTGTGGGCCAGCTCCCTGGCTGGGGATCGAACTCAGGCCATAGTGGTGATAGGCTGAGACTTAACGCCTACACCTCCAAGTAGGCCCCCAGATGTCAGCATAAATAGTCCCTTTTAAGAAAGTTTTCTCTACCATTCTTTCTAGATCGCAGTTGCTTAATTTTGGATCCCCATGGAGACCGCTATCATTGTGACTGAACATTACTTTTCTTCAGTTCACTCATCCCATTTTTCTTTCTCCTGCCCTCCTCCCCCTGTCCTTCCCTCTGTATGTCTTAGGGGAATACACTCACACCTCTTCACATGTGTATTACACATCACTACCTCACTGACGCTGTCACCTGAGACCATCAGGCCCCTCCCCCT